CCGGGGACCGCGCCCTGGCCGAGCTGCTGCTGGAGTTCTCCCGGGCACAGTACCGCGCCAAGGACGGCGGCGGCGCCGCCGCCGCTGCTAAGGTGAGGGGGCCGGCACTGAGGGGGGCGGCGGCGAACACCGGTGGCGGTGCGGGGGGCGTTGACCGGTGGCTGTGCGCAGGTGGAGCGGATCGAGCGGCGGTGCCTGGAGCTCTTCGGCCGCGACTACCGCTACAGCGTGATCCCGAACGCGCATGGCGAGGTCTGCGCCCACTACCCGCGACACATCGTCCTCCTGGAGCGCGACGCCGGCGCCGGCCGCGACCCGTAAGGCCCCCGGTCCCCCCGCCCCGCACGGCTGACAGCCGGCGGAGGCGGCTTCGCGTCTTGCCCCCGGGGAGCTCCCGTGGCTGCCGCTCCGGGGCTCCCGCCGGCCGGGGGAAGCCCCGCCAGGCTGCGCTGCGGCTAATTATAGCCGGCGGTGTCAGCCGCTCCCGGGGCACCCCGCGCTGCCTGCCAGGGCTGTGCTTGGCTGCCGAGCTCCCGTGGAGCTCCTCCGAGCTCCCCAAGTCTCTTGGGCTCTCCCTGGTGAAAGCTGCGAAGCTAAGCCTGTAACTTGAGAGGTGCCAAGGAAACGGGCTGCTCCGGGGCAGCGCCAGCTCCGCTGCACGCTGTCCTCGAGTAGATCCTAATGACTGCTCTGCTACAGCTCGCCCAGAGACTCAAAGAGCTCGTGGTTGGGAGGAGCAGGACTGTGCGGTGCTCTCCCTGTCTCGACGGAGTGCCTGTGGTCTTGCTGGAAGGCCTCTGATGAGAGAAATTTTAGTCTGGAAAGCAACTTGGGGCAGGGGGAGCTGATGGGGGGCTGGACAGACGAGACAATCTCGACAGAAACAGTCTGCCCCCACCACAGTACGTGGGTCAGTGGGCACTGAGGTTTAATGAGTTAATGGGAAATGCTTGCTTGCAGTTTAGCACAAGTCTAAGCCAATGCTTTTCTGGACTTTGACCCACAAGCTCAGAATCACGTTGGTCTCACTTCTGGTTGAGCGCTAGCTGCTCCCTGCAACTCTAATGACAGCCTCTCATTTTTTATTTTCTCTTCCAACAAAACATAATGCAATTTTGCAGTCTTAACTGCCTCCAAGACAAGAGTTACACATGCGAAAGGGCGGTGGTCACCAAGTTCCCCTCGCATGTCCAGCTGCTTTGCCTGAGGAAGGCAAACTGTCAGCTGTTGCACTGGCACCTGGGCCGGGTGCTGTAGGAGGGGGTCTTTGGAAAAGAGCCACAACTGATTGTCAGGTGGGAGAATTTCTGCTTAACGGTTAGATCAGATTAGAAGAGATTAAACCCCTTTCTGCAAAAAAAGGGAAACTGAAGTCTGAAGCTGTAAATATAATTAGGTAACTGAATGCTTCTGCTTTTCCTATTCTTGCAAGCGGAAATCATGCTTGATTTTTCTGACGAGTATTCAAAACAAGTGTACTTACAGTCAGTGCCCCCGTTTTCTTCCAAGACTTTTGCAAGCCAGCATCGGCAATTAACATTTTAAATACTGATTCTTTCCAAGTCTTGATTTGCTGTCCCAGAGAGTCACGGAAACACGCTACCTTTCATCATCGCTCTTCTCCTGTTTTCTGGGTGATAATCTCTGTAAAATCTGCTAAGTAATTTTTAGACAAATACGGTTTTTAGTTTCATCATAGTACTCTATGGAATAATTATGAAATGGAGACTGTTGCACTTCTTGTGTTACAGAATGCAAGAACCTCTTCCACTGAACGGGACACTCCCTCTAGGACCGAGTGTCTTTGACTGCCTTTCATCTTTGTAATGTTCTTAATCAGCTGGTAAGATCTCCTTGAAGTGTCCAGGATGCTTCACGCCTCTGAGAATACCAAGGTTTTTTGGAAGCAGTTCTCACTTGTGCGAACTCTGCGCTACCCATTTGGTTCTGCTGGTACAGCTGTTTCTGAAGCCACATGAGGAACCAGCAAAAAATGAGTATTTTTAACCCAGATCAGTTTCCTGATCCTGTACATTCTGTGGCTGGGAAGCTGGGGCAAGAAAGGATGTTGCTTCATCAAAGTTTGCTGACAGTATTCTGAAATCCAGGCAGGTGCAGGAGATAGCAGGAGGAATTTGGCATGTGGTTTTGGCCTGTATGCCCCATGGTCAGGTGCTGCTCGCAAGGAGCCACAGAAAGTAGCAGGGTGCGTCTGACAGCCAGGAGCACCTTCCCTGTGCTTGGAAATCTCTGATGTCCGTCCCCCCCTGCCCCCAAAGGAGGAGGCAGATGCTGCAGGCAATGGAAACAGAGGGATATGCTCAGTTCTTTACTCACTGTCTTGGAGTTACTGTGACTATGCTTAATGAAGACGCCCAGACCTCAGACACAGGCCATGTCTTTGGTTTCACCTGACCATCCTGTTATGTGTCTGCACTCCAAACAAATATGATCACAGTTGCACGTAATCTAACAATATGAGAGGAATGCTTTGGTTCCAATGCTGTTATGGCTACCCAAAGAGAAGCATCTCTGCTTCAGGCCTGTCTGAAATACACAGTTGCCAAAACAGTTGCTTGCTTTTGCAGGAAATGTTTCCCTTGCATTTAAAAAGATTAATTCAGGTTTGGGGTCTGATTTTGGGAGGAGGGTGGGCAGGGAATTAATACAGAGGTAAGGTTGCCCAGCTGTATCTTCTAGAAAACAAATTTCTGAAGGAAAAAAACCAAAACAAAACACCTGAAAGTCCAAAAAAATAAAGAGTTGAGATACACATCATTCCTTCCACCTCATTCTGTACCTTGTGCCAAGCAGCCTTAATGATGTTCTTTCACACTGCTGCTGAAGAGTGCTCTGTTTTCTGAACCTTTTTCAGTTGATTTTGCTCCTACCTTTGCTGCTTTTAATCACTTGTCCCTGTAAAAGCGTTGCACCTGTTCTTCAGAGCAGCCATTCCCTTTACTACAGTAGTCTCGGTACTACCATGTTTACTTACCATGTTTATCTCTAGCTCATGTTTATCTCTTGCTTTACTGATGATGGCTCTTGAGACGAGAAGATCCGAGATCCCCGCTTGTAGCACAGCCATGATAGATAGCAGAGTGGGTCTCTCCGGTGCATGTGCAGGCTTCCCAAGGAGCAGACACAGGAGCCTGGGAGAGGGGCTTATCCTTCCATGTCCCCAGTGGGGTGCTGGGCTTCCCGCTCACCCCATGTCCCAGGTCACTGCCGAGCTGCTCAGACTCATTCCCCAGTGCTGCGATGCCTCTCTGGGGAAGTGCAGTTAGCGTGCTGAGAGGTGAAACCTGTTGCGTTGTCTCAGCTCCTGGGGAGGTGCTTCCCTTATAATTTCTGATCTTCTTTCTTCTTTGCTGAATCCCACCTTCTGGACTTGGAAGCAGTGCTGTGGAGCTATTCTGGTAACAATGTATTAAAGTTCTTGTTTTCCTCTGTATTTGCTTTTGCAAAGGAAATGTAAAGACAGCTGGAGCAGAGTGCAGGATGTGTCTCTTAACTGTGTGCATTCATTTAAAAACAACCCCACTACCAAATCTGTAAGTCAGAATCAAAGTTTCAAAATAGTTTGGTATTGGGAATTATACATGAAGTCATCTCTTCTCAAACTGCTCACAGGGAGTGCCTGCAGTGTGCGTTATTCACAGGCTCTCTGAGGGAAGCAGATTGTGGAGCGGAGCTCTTGACTGTTTGCAGTGACAGCAATGAGCAGAGTTTGGGTTGTGTTGATTGGGCGCGTGCTTCTCTTGCACGCAATCTCACATACTCCCATGTAAAGTGTATTGTGTTAGCTTTTTTCTGTCTTTGCACTTAGCACCCTTGTGTCCACAATGTTTAAAGATTAGCTTGTGTTCTTGTTCTTTAAGCTCTGTTATATGTCAAAGCTCTTTGGAGCTGGACAGCCAAAATAGTTGTGTATGTAGGGAAACTCGTGAAAAAACTTAAGCCTCCACTATGAATTCTGAGAATTGAATCCTTTTTAAAAAAAAAAAAAAAAAGTAGGATCTGAAGGTCTTGTTCGCTGTTTCCCTGCTTCTGCTGGCACCACCTTGAATAATCTTTTCCACAAACAGATCAATTTCCATGTTAATAATAGATTAAATTTTTTAATCCTTCCCAGAATGGCAGCTGCAGGTAGGTTGCTCCACACTCTCACTTATTCTGAAGCTTAGCAACTTCACAACTTTCTTTTAACTTCTAGCATAAAAGTATTCATTTGTTCTTAGGCCAGCATTGTCCTTTGCCTTTGAGTTCTTCCCCTCCTCAATTGTAAGTTCTCTCCTTTGCCCTAATGCATATATTGTTGTGTCTTCACTTCATCTTCATCTGCTCTGCCAATCAATCCGTGGTGGTTTCTCTTGCAGCATAGACTGTCCCCTGGCTGTCCTAATCATCTTGCTGTGCCTTTTCAGGCATGGTTAGGTCACTAGAATCAGGTGCCTTATCTCAGCTGAGATCTTGTGCTCTGCACAGTAATGCTGGTACTTCTCCACCCCACCGAAGAGTTTCCTGTGATCTTATTTGTCCCTTTTTTCAGATTTAGCAAGTTGATAATGTACGAGCATCCAGAGATCAACCAGTTCATCCAGGCTCTTCTACTGAGCTCCACTACTGGAAAGGGCTAACTGGAAATTCTTGTTAATCATCTTTAAGTGCATGGCCATGCAGTGTTGTATGCCCAGACTTCATCTGGTTTCTGTTATGTCAGCCTGAGTGCTTCTCCAATTCCGTGTGGAAGCTCTAGTCCTCCTTACATTGACAGTTCCTTGTGAAGGTCTGTGTAGTTCAGAAGTCAGTTTGGATTCCTGTCAAAGGTAGGCTGGTATTTGGATGAATTGCAGCAATTTTAACTTGTTTCAAAAATGTCTCCAACTAGGAACAGATTTCTGTTTTAACTTTAACCAGAAAACCAAACAAAATTTAGTTATGCAGATGCAGCTGACGTTAATCTACCTACCCTGCTCAACCCACTAGCTGATTTACAGACAGTTGTCTAATTACCCAGCAGCAAAAATGCTCAAGTGACCAGAACTAAGGTTCATTGAGTGTTCAAGTTTTGACCCTGGATTTTATTTATTTTTCTTTGCAAAATTACCACTCTGATAGTGAACTCACTCTGATGGTAGTGTTGATCTTCTTTTTGATGGAAATGTGGTGGGGAGGAAAGCAGAACATTTGTTTTTGTAGACACTGGCTTACTCTGGTAGTCCTTCATTAGTAATCCATGTGTTAGTCTGTAGCAGACCATTCTGACGGTACTCATGCCAGCTCCTAAAGATGCTCGCTGTCGTATACTGTGCAGCTGGCCTTTCAAAATAAAGGAGACAGAAAAGCGTCCATACTTCTTGTATAGCAGCGGAAGCAATTCTTAAAGAAGTGTCCTCTTGCTTGCTAACTTCAGAGCTGGCTTCTAGGTTAAAGGGATGGGCATTATAACCCAGGGTGTCTGTAGCAGCTTTGCTGAAAGATGTGTGAGAAGATGCTCTGTGTACTGAACTGAATCTCTGTCCACTAGGTTTGAGAGCACTGTGCAGGTTGGCAAACTGCAAGACCTTATCAACCGAAGTAAGATGGCGAGGTGTAGAGGACGATTTGTTTGCCCAGTCATTCTGTACAAGGGAAAGGTAAAGCTTCATGGGTTACCTGTCTTAACTTAGAAAATGACCTTTCTCCCTGCCGTTTGAACTGTGCAGCCATGTCTTCAGTTGGTTGTCACCTTTCCAAATGCTGTAAAAATCTGTTCTTAGGTACAAGCAGGCAGCCTGCAGGAGCAGGTAGCATTTGCTGTCTAGGCTGCATAAATCATCTGTGGGGACTTCAGGTTATTTTACCCCACAATGTCATGAGCATTGCACCAAAGAGCTAACATTTTCTCCATATGTATGTCCCTTCTGAAGGACCAATGGTATTTGGTCTTTGAGAGGGGAAAGACAATTATTGTCACTTTCTGCCCCTTACTCTTTCCAGCAGTAAGCTCTGTTTGAATAACTTTTCTCTCTAAAGAGAAGTTTCCCTTGTCTGTTCCCTGGGGAGGCAAGATTGCATAAATGGTCTTATGAATGTGTGGGCTTGTCTGCAAGGGGATCTGTAAGAAAGTGAAATTAGATTCATTTTTATGTGGATTACTTAAACTGTATTGCAGCCCTGTAAGAGTAGTCTCATTTAGAATTTAAGTAGCTTAATTCCGTTTTCTTAGTTCAATTAAGAAACACTGTGTGAATAGCAAAATCATACCTGTGACAATTTTAATCTAGCTTGACTGAAGCTATCGTGGGCTGAACCTGCTGACCTTTTTCTGCAGGAGTGAACTGCCCAGAGTTGTACTAGGACCATCCATAATCTTATCCACAGGAATGTGGAAATAAGGCTCAAGCAGGGTATTAGCAGAGCATGGATGTTGCTACCTTGGCAGTAATTGACTGTATTAGTGAATTGGAGAAGTAGAGATGAAAATGTGATTTAAAAACTAGCTACAGATAAAGGCACTTGGGAGTTTGATGTGTTTGGAGAACTTGATCTGGACCAGAATTGCAGGGGAGACTGCCAAGAGGCGGTGGCTGTAGGTACCAACTAGTTCTATGTAACGTGACAGCAAATAGGCCAGAGACCTGATAAGGGAAAGACTCCTGGAGCATGCGTGGTTAATAACAAAATTTTCCTCCAGCATATTTGCAGATCTGCAACACTGGCTGGCTGGGGAGAGCTCTATGGGCGCACTGGCTACAACTATATCTTCTCAGGTGAGTGAGGAGCCATTTGTCACTGTCTGCCTGATAAGGCTGGTCAGTGCTGGGACAGTGACCTACACACGAGAGCAAGCTCTTCCTGAGAGCTGATGCAGCGCTCTACCATGGACCTGCTTCTATCAGGTCCTCCATAACAGAGCAAAGACTGAAGTCTCCTGTCCATTTCCAAGCACCGTACTACAGGACAGAGTGTTGTAGCTCATAAGAAGCAGTGGCAAAAGAACTTGAGGCTGAAGAGTGAGTTATGGGAAGTATGTAAGCAAGTAAGGCAGCCCAAAGGATTCAGAGTACTGATTCCCAAACATCGGGGTTGGGAATAATGGAAGAAAGAGGATAAGAACTTGCTGTTGCTTGGCTAATCATTGGGAGTCAAATCCTGCTAATGGTGAGATATACTGGATTCTAGGGAAAGCTCTTCAGGGGAGTATGGGGCATCTGTAGTGTGGGAGCTGAAGCTTGGCTTAACAAAGCACTGTGTAGTACTATTGGGGTGTCCTGCTGGCTGTCAGTAGCGGGTTTGACCTGCCTGGGTCCTTTGCAATGACAAGGGAAGGGTGGGCTGTTACAAAATGGGCTTTTCAGGAAGACAAAATGTGGGGAACTATTGAGAGCACTTATGTGTGGAGAGAGGGCACCAAACCATGACCTTTTTGGGTGCGTGCATGTCTTGTCAGATTGGGGATTGAGTTGGTTTACACGTGCTCCAGTTCTTAATGCTTTCCTTGCAGGAGGTTCCGACGATGCTTGGGCAGATGCAGAAGACATTTCAGAGGAAGATTCTGCACTTAGGTTTGTATGCATGACTGGGATGGGGAAAAGGAAGTTTGAACCAAAGCTGACTGGCTCAGCCACACAATTCTGCTCTTTCCTAGGCTGGGCTTTGGGTCCAGGCTTGAGACCATCACCAAGCTTGGAGCATTATTTTCCTTTTGAAAAAGAGTCTTGAATGCTAATGGCTGGCTGAACCCAGTGTAACTGAAGCCTGCTAATCTCTTGGCAGAGGGACAGGCTGGAGACAGGAATATATAGAGCCATTTAAAAAGGTGTTTGAATTACACAGACGTGCTTACTTTGTCAAAAAGTACATCTCCAGGCTGGAGAAATTGTTCTGTATCTTACGTGCTTGTTGCAGAACAGAGTAAGACAGGGAGGGGAGGGACCCTAAACACAAAGTTTGCAGTACCAGTTCATTGCAGGATCTGGCTCTGACCTGTGGAGACAAGGCTCATGCTTTGCGGCTTACGGCTAGAAGCGGTTCAGGGAAGAACTGTGGCAGTATTGTGCAAAGAATCAGACTCAACATGGTCAGTCTTCCATGCTCGTCTTGCTTTGCCTTGTTCTGTCTTGCAGAAATGCAGACTCCCAGCTGTTTGACAAGGTCAGAGGGCACGACATCAAGCTGCTTCGATACCTGTCTGTCCGATATATCTGTGACCTGATGGTGGAAAACAAGAAGGTGAAGTTTGGCTTGAAGTGAGTCTGGGTTCGTTTGTTTTTCTACAGGCTTTGGATTGTATCTAGTGTAGCTCTTACATGTGAATTGCTATTGCCCATGCTCTCAGCATCCTGGGAGCAGTTCCTGAAAGAGTACTACAGCAGGATCAGTTAGTTGATCCTGTAAAGAGAACCCCAAGGTTTTAGGCCAGAGGAAGCTGTATCAATGGGCAAGGTAGCTGTTTTCATCTGTCTTCTGCAGTCTGAGTAGGTTTTCTCTGTAGAGCTTGCAGTGATGTGACAGTCAACCCTTCAGAAAGGGGAGAGTAAAGGAGCCCTCTTCTTGTGTATAGGAACAGAGGGAGCCGTTACTCCTGGTATTTCTCTGAGGAAAGTTTTAGTGGTTTGGGGCTATACCTGTTTATTTGCATGTGTTGAGTAAGTTCTGCCCCTGCTCACTACTGAATCAGGTCATTGTGCAGGGAGATGTGACAGGTAGCTTTCTGGGCACTGGTATCTCCATGAAAAATACTCTACAAATGTCTGCTGTTTTCCTCTTGTCCTGTGCAGTGTGACGTCTTCTGAGAAGGTGGACAAAGCTCAACGTTATGCTGATTTCACGCTTCTCTCCATCCCATATCCAGGTACAGGACTGATGTCCAGAGGGACTCCCAAGGGACAGGTGACAATCCGTTTCTGGGGACTGGGAACTACCTGTGTGTGTTGTGTGTGGTGAAGTGACTGTGGCTTGCTGAATGTTTCCTATGCTCCCTGTGGAGAGAAGCTCTTTTAAACTGAGAACAGTGCAACGGATCTGGATGCTCTGGCAGTGTGAGTCAGCATTAGGCACTCTTTGAGGTGGCAAAATAATTTCTCAGCAGTTCTAATTAATTCGAACGTGGAGAAAAAGCCCCAGAGGTGGAGCTGGGGTTAAGATGGCCTTTGACACCCCTGCAACTCCAAACCACTACTTGGTGCAAAATACATAAAACAGAGCAAGATATATATATAAAACCCCAATTCTTAAGAGTATTTTCTAGTCCTAGTGTTCCAGAGCACAACTGTAAGATACCCTCGGTGCTAGGCAGAACTCTTTATCTGATGAGCCTGCAGTGTACGGCTGAGATGCAGACCACTCCAGCCTGTCTCCCTGGCTATATTAGTCCCTGTGCCTAGCAACCAACTGCTGGGTTACTTGCTGCACTCTTAAAGATGAGCTGAATATTGCTGCCTGCCTGCTGATGTCGGGGTCAGTGGCAGGATTGGATGTGAGACTGCTGTGTTTGAGGTCTGTCTGCAAGAAAGGACTCTTCTTTCTCCCTTGCACACAAAGAAAGGGAGAGGAGAAAAAAAAAACACAAAATAAAACCCAACAAAACTGTTGAGGATGATCCAAACCCAGACTTTTCCTTGATTACTAGTCGTTGCCCTTAAACTTTTTTTTTTTTAAAGTGTATTTCCTTTCACACAGAAATTAGGGACAATTCAGAGAAGCCGCATGAAGATTTATATCAGGTTTGCTATGCAGATTGCCGATGTGTGCAGAAATAAGAGTATTACTGCTTTCTGTAGCACATGGCACAGGTATATGTTGCTGCCATATGCCTCACCAAACTTAGAACATGAGAGAGACAGTGTACACAGGTCTTCTGTAGGGTTTATAAAGAATGAGGAAGAAGTGACTCTCTATAGAGTTAAGCTGTAGAGTGGTTACTGTATGGGGATCTGTGTATAGTATGCAATATTCAGTGATGGTCCTTCCTCTTCTTCCATCTGGGACAGCTGCTTTCTTTTAGCAGCTCTTCACTGCCACGCTAGAGGTAAACCTTACAAAACTGGAAATTCTTCCTGCAGATGTTGCCTGATTTCAGCAGTGCTGGTCTACAGGGGAATGTTGTCATTCTGTTAAATCTAAGGCAGACACATCTAAGGATCAGTAGCCCCTCTAGTGACTGGCCAAATGCCGTGATACATTCTTAATGAGGTTTTCAGGTTTGCATTGAAAGAATTTCTGGTTTGTAATTTGTCTCTAAAGTTATTCTGAGATCCTGTTGTCTTTGGTGAGCGAGGCAGTGTCCAGACATAGAATCATAGAATCGTTTAGGTTGGAAAAGACCTTTAAGATCATCAAGTCCAACTGTTAACCTAGCACTGCCAAGTCCATCGCTAAAGCATGTCCCTGAGCACCACATTTACATGTCTTTTAAATACCTCCAGGGACGGTGACTCAACCACTTCCCTGAGCAGCCTGTTCTAGTGCTTGACAACCCTGTTCTTAAAGAAATTTTTCCTAATATCCAGTCTAAACCTCCCCTAGCACAACTTGAGGCCATTTCCTCTCATCCTATCACTTGTTACTTGGGAGAAGAGACTGCCCCCCACCTTGCTACAACCTCCTTTCAGGCAGTTGTAGAGAGTGATAAGGTCTCCCCTTAACCTCCTTTTCTCCAGACTAAACCCCAGTTCCCTCAGCCACTCCTCATAAGACTTGTGCTCTAGACCCTTCACCAGCTTCATTGCCCTTCTTTGGACACACTCCAGCACCTCAGTGTCTTTCTTGCAGTGAGGGGCCCAAAACTGAACACAGTATTTGAGGTGCAGCCTCACCAATGCTGAGTACAGGGGAACAATCACTTCCCTAGTCCTGCTGGCCACACTATTTCTGATACAGGCTGGGATGCTATTGGCCTTCTTGGCCACCTGGGCACACAACTGGCTCATATTCAGCCGTCTGTACACCCCCAGCTTCTTTTCTGCTGGGCAGCTTTCCAGCCACTCTTCCCCAAGCCTGTAGTGTTGCATGGGGTTGTTGTGGTTCAAGTGCAGGACCTGGCACTTGGCCTTGTTGAACCTCATACAGTTGGCCTTGGCCCATCGATCCAGCATGTCCAGATCCCTCTGTAGAGCTTTTTTACCCTCAAATGGATCAACACTCCCACCCAACTTGGTGTTGTCTGCAAACTTACTGAGGGTGCACTTGATCCCTTCATCCAGATCATTGATAAAGATATTAAACAGAACTGGCCCCAGTACTGAGCCCTGGGGAACACCACTTGTGACTGGCCGCCAACTGGATTTAACTCCATTCACCTGTACTCTTTTGGCTTGGCCATCCAGCCAGTTTTTTACTCAGCGAAGAGTAATAACCGTGTAGGGTGAAAGACTTGGGTTAAAATGGGGTATCTGTAGAAGCTTTTGTGCTCTCCAGTGCAGAAAACCCCTCTTTTCCATTTGACTGGTGGTTGGCATTTGTAGATGCCAATAGTTGCTGCTGTAATCCCCCATTCTTTGCTTTAAGCCACTGTTAAATTGGAGTTAAATCTCAGCTGACGGATTGCTTCCCGACTGTGTGGTTTTGAGGGCTAGTCCTGTCCTCGCACAAGGATTTTTTTTTTTTTTTTTTCCCCACCATTGGAGTCACTCGTGACTTGCAGGGTAGGAATCATTGCCTGTGTTCAGTGCCTGGCACAGGGGTGTCTTGGTAATGTGGGCACTGTGGTGCTGCTGGGGCGTGCACAGTGCATTGGGAGAGGTGTTTTGTGTAGCCTGCAGGCAGCCGCAGTGCTAATGGTGCTGCTCAGCTGTGACTAAGTGACTGCAGTTTGCAGCAGAGACTTCAAATAGTTGGTTGAGAAGAACAGAGCCAAAGGACAAACTTCAGGAGGGGAAGGCTTGGGGGAAACCTTTGTAGTGGTTATATACCTGCTTCCTTTAGATAGGGCAATTCGCGTGTTTGAAAGCGGAGACTTAAATGTGAGAGAAATCACAGCTGCCGCTGACAGAGCCCTTTCTTGTTACCTGCAGCAGATGCCCTGTGAAAGTTGGCTTTCTCCAGGGCTCTGCCAACACCTCCTTTTGCTGGTTCCTTCTCACTCAGCATGTCAGGCTGATGCCTTAGATGTGTGCAAAAGCCAGTGGCCCTGGAAAGCATAGCTCCTTGGTGAAACCTCTTGTTTGGGAAAGAATGAAATCAGTCCCTCAAACTCCACATTTGCTGTGTGTTTGGAGCTTGTCCTTTGCTGTGTGTGTGTTCACTGCTGAGTGCTCTAGGTTGTTGCTGCTGGGAGGCCATGTTGAACACTGTACTGATGATTACCGCTCTTCCCACAGGCAGCAGTTTTGATTGGTTTGGTGCTCTGGAGCCCCGGGGCTGCCAGCACTTCCAGTCCCACGGGGCACTTCAGTTGTTAGATATCAGTTAGCTGAACGGTTGTTCATTATCTCTTTTTCTTGCAGGCTGTGAATTTTTTAAGGAGTACAAAGACCGGGATTATACAGCTGAAGGTCTCATATTTAACTGGAAACAGGTACATGGATGTTACAAAATGGAGAGCTGTGGGCTTTGCTGGGCTTCAGTCTTGCCTCAGAGTTCCTGAGCAATGGTGTATGTTATGTACTTATTTCTGATCACAAGCAGGAAACCAACAGGACAGACAAAACAGATAGTGAATGTACTACATTACTCATTGTAAAATTCATATGTAAAATAAATGAATTATTGTCCTGAAGCCCAGGATGCTTGACCTCTCATGGGGGGTATGGGTTGCTCCTGTTTTTGAATTTGATGTCTTACTGATAGCCTCTGTTCTCAGTTCTGTCTTCATATTCTGTCTCCTGCTGAGGGAGACAGTTGAGTGCAGCAGCCGTAGGGGAATTCAGAAACTAACAGGCCTTGTCCCTGACTTCCACTGTTGGGAGCACAGAAAAGCTCCTCTTGTCCACTAGTCCTTCGAAGAGGCTGTGAGTTAATTCTTACCACTTTAGGTTTTTGCATCCAAAGATGCTTTGCTGAGACATTTTCTTCTAGATGCACCATTTGGCATTTGTTGTTTTTTTTCTGGAACTCACTGCCTTCAAGTCATGGCTTTTCTCTGACCAATTGTGTTTGGTTTTTTTGCAGGATTACGTAGATGCTCCATTAAGTATCCCAGTCTCTCTGACCCAATCTCTGAATATTGATTGGAGCGAATACCAGGTGAGCAAAGCAGGCATCTCTGTGGAAGGTCAGAGATTCATTCAGAGAGGATCAGTATAGATTTGAAGTCTGACTTGCTCCTGTTGCCGTAATCTGGCTCACTTAATACCATCCCAGTGGGAGCAAGGCTGCTTAATTGACTGTTCAGAATGGCAGTGGAAATCCTCTACCCAAAAGCTCCATGGCTTGGTGTGTCCCGAGGCAGCTCGGTCAAATCTTTTTCTGTAGCTTGTGTAAAGCTTACAATCCATTAGGGAGATATGTTGCTAACAAAGGTAAGGAACATGCCAGGAAATGGAAAGCAGTATTACTTGTTCGCAATCTTAGCTTGCCATGTGCCTGCAGTGGGCAGACTTCCTTGGCTGTGGAGAGTCCCTAATGTGAGCAGTAGCCAAGTGACTAGGCACCTTCTTCATGGGTGTGCAAGGTGCCTGTCCTATGGGAGAAGAGTAGAAAATCATAGTTGACCATAGCGTGTCTCCATTCCTTATTACTGTGACAGCATTGCAAATGATAATTGAACTCTTACGTTTGCCCAGGCTTCAAGGTTTACCTTAGTCTGTTCATGTCAGGGAGGTTCGCGTTATTCTGCTGATTAGTGTGCTCCATTTCACACATCAGTGGACCTACCAATCCCCCCAGGTTTTGTGATGATTGACTGTGCTGGAGCTTGTCACACTCTTATGCTCTGTGGCTGGAAGCACCACAGAACTGGCGGAGCTCCCCGTGCTGGGCCAGTGTTTGTCAGTCAGTGATGTAAATAATGTTTAAGTGCCAGCATAAGCAGAATCACAGAAAAGTAGCTTGCAGTGTTGAAGCAGAACTAATGGGACCACAGCTTGTTTATGGCTAGAAACTTGTTCACTAGAATACTGAGCAGCCAGTATTTTTAAAAGGATATTAAAAATTGAAGAGGGTGTGATAAATAGATGCAGAAATGATCTGAGGACTGGAGAAGGTGCTTCACTTAACGCTGAAGTTCTCAGTCTGTTTAGCTAATCACAAAGGTGACGGAGGGTTGACTTGATTAATGTGTAAGTACATTCACAGGGAGAAAATACTAATTCTAAAGCACTCTTCAATCTGAGGAAGAAAAGCTGCACAGGAAGCGATATCTGCAGTCTGAAATCAGACCTTCAATAAGGAAAAGTAGTCTTGCTTGTTATTTTTGAGGATGATCTGTTGGAACATGCTGCCAAAGGAGCAATGAGCTGTCACCCCTAGTTGAGGTGCTTCCCTGGGCAGAGATGTTGCCAAGTGCTAGCTTCAGGCTGTATTTGGGGCAACTGAACAAAACTTTCTGGTTTGTGGTATAGAGAGATCAGACTGGTTGATTAGATGATTCCTTCTGGCATAAGCACAAGATAGAGTTGAATTAGGCACATAAAAGACTTTGGAAGTGTGTGTTTTTCTGCCCCAGGCTGAGCGTGTTCCCCATTTCCCTACTCTTTTGTTGCTGTGCAGGCTTCACAGCGGAGCAATATGTTCTTTGTCTGACAGTAGTCTTTAAGTGTGGTTACACGCACATGTGCACGCATGCAAGCACACAGCAAGTGTTCTATTGCTGGTGGTCAGATGTCACTTATACCACTAACACTGTCACAATGAAACACGTGTCCCTCTCCTTGCCTTTTTGTTGCCAGTGATATCCTATTTTCCTTGAGCTAGTTCTGGCTCTGATCAGACCACTGAAATTCCCTGCATCTTCTCACAACACAGTGGTTGAGAGTGGCATGCTTAAGCTTGCTGTGATGTTTTTCATCTGCATCTCTTGTAGTGCTGGAGGTCTCTGAGTTCAGAGCCCTTTTGTGGTGTTGCTGCTACTTGGGCATTACTGCAGAAGTCCAGTGCCTGTCTGGAGCAGCTGGGAGTGGGTCAGCCCGCCACAGGCAGCCTGCTGGGGCCATTTACAAGGGCCAGAGAGTTTTGAGCAAAGCGCTTGGGTTGTGGGAGCGGGCTGCTGACCTTGGCTTGCTCACCCCATCGTGCTACTTGCATCACATACACAGCTGTAACGTGGCTGCTGAGCCATTTGGTGAAGTGCACGCGTGCAGGGGGCTGCAGAACTGGGTCAGTGCTCCGCAGGTGTTTGCTGGCTTACGTTAGTCTCTCTGAGCATGGTCTGCTTGGAGCTCTGGGGCTGCAGGCAAGCAGGTTCTGTGCCAGCCAGGCAGACAGTAGAGACTGAGTTTTGTTTGGGGTTTTTTTTTTTTTTTCCCCCCTGTCTGGTCTTTTGTCCCAGAGTGCCTTTTTCAGAGGATGGGGGGATTGATTAGAACACCAAGGGGAAGGTCTGTCACTGAGGAATAGCCAGGGGTTATTTCTGCTTTGCTGTTGCTCTAGATAAAGTCAAGAGCATGGCAGGGTCTGAACTGCAGAGCAGTCTTTTGCTGTGGGAAGACCCTTACCATCCACATTTCTCTTTCTGTAGAGCTGGGACCTTGTACAACAGACACAGAACTACCTGAAGCTGCTGATCTCCATCATCAATAGTGATGGTAAGGCAAACTCCTTGTTCCCAGTGGTTTAACTGGAGCAGTTGCTGTCTCTGGAAGAACAGCTGATGGTATTAGTGCCACTGTGGATCAGTTCCCAATACATAAGAGTCACTATAGAGAACTTCACTGCTCTCCCTTCAAAACAGGGTGATGGTCCTAGCATCTTAGGGCTCCAGCTCCCCTCTTAGAGAGGGACTTGCTGATTCCTTGAAAACTCTCTCCTACCAGGAATGGAGGGATATCTGAAAACTTTACGTAATGTTTTACTGCTTTAAAGCTGAAGAGAAGAAATATTTGTTCTCTGCTTGTTGACTCTTGCTCTTATTTTGCTGGACACTTGCGTTTTGTCCCTCCAACCCAAGGTCTCATTAGGTGCCTATTTAAGAGCCCCTTCCATCCTCTGTCATCACAGCCACCTAAACTCTTTGAAGGGTGTATATTGCCCTATATTGGCATCCCATTCCCTCTGGGCACTGTGAGTTGGTACCCAGCACTGTTGGATAGATGGAGCCATGGCTGGCTCTGCCAGCACGGCCAACTACAGACTCTCCTACAGTACCTGTGTTGGGACACACTGCGAATTTTCTGGAGAGTGTAGGAGTTGTGCCCTGTGTGTGCCTCTGCTCAATGTGTATCAGTAGGAAGGTTGGTGAGACTGGAAAAGTGTTCAGTTGGAGCAGGTTTCTCTCTGATGTGGGGATAAATCATGATAGTGCATTGCAACAGGGTAGGTACATGTTCTGAGTAGCAAAGTGATGTTCATACCTAGTGACTTCATGTCCTGAGCAACTGTCAGGACTAGGACAGCACATCAGCTGGGGCTGCTGACAACCCAGGACACTCCGAGCGATTTGTTGGCTCCCGTATTCAAGAGAAAATGTTCTGACTTGGCTGAGCTCTGCTCTCGAGCCTGGGTTGTGGGGATGGAAGGTGGCTTGTCTCTACAGATCTGCCATGAAGAAAAGTCATTGCTCTTGTTGCAACATCCTTTTTTTCCTTCTCCTTCCTACCCTTGCCTGGAACAGATGACAGTGGGCTCCTGGTGCACTGTATATCCGGCTGGGATCGAACTCCTCTCTTCATCTCCTTATTGCGCCTCTCCTTATGGGCTGTGAGTACCTGGCTGACCTGCTCTGCTTCTGGGGGTGGTTGCTTGGAGGGTGAGTGACTGTGTCACCAGAAAGTGGTGGTGGAGCAGTTAATGTTCCTTTTGGCTATCATGGCTTCAGAGAGGGTATTGATCGGCTTTGATGTGGAGCCCAATGTGCTGTCCTGCCATCAGACACAGTATCACAGGCAGCTAGAGCAGGCTGGGCATCTTGGATCACCATGACAGTTTTCAGTAGATCATGAATTCCCAAGTCCTGATCCCCAGGGCTGCTGCCTGAAGGCTGTGGTCATTTGCTTTGCAGGATGGGCTGATCCACGCATCCCTGGAGCCGTCTGAGATTCTCTACCTGACGGTGGCGTATGACTGGTTTCTCTTTGGGTAGGCACACTAAGTTTTACTCGCATATGCATCCCTGCACAGCCAGGGAGAAGCCTTCAGGGGGTCATCTTTGGTGTTTGCTCGCAGCCAAAGGTGGATGTTGGGGCAGCTCCCAATGAGCTGTGACAAGAGGGGCTGATGCCTTTTTTTTACCTGGAGGCTCAGGCTTCTGGCCATTCTTGACAGCTTGTGTTCTTCTGCTGATTCTGGCTTCCGGTGTGTGACTGAGCTTCCCTTGCTCTCTTTCCAGGCACATGTTAGTCGATCGACTCAGTAAAGGAGAAGAGGTGAGTGTCTAGTCTGGGGCAGTGACTGAGCACTGCTTTTTGTTCTCAGGGTACTTGTTTACGGTAGCGGTGTTCACTGCCTGCTTCTGGTAATATCAGTGGTCTGGCTGGGCTCTAAAAAGATTGTTCAGGTGCTGGAAATAGGAGGTAGGAGCCTTGCCCCAACAATTCCTGGTGCATAAGGTGTGGGAATGCTTTTCTCTCAGCCTACAGTTTGCTTGGTGGGTGTCAGTCCTGCCAGTCTCTCTGCTGTGCTATTAGCATTCAGTCCCCCGGTGAAAGGGTGCTAGGACTGGCTATTCAGCTCAGCAATGAGAAGAGATGCTTAAGGCGTGTGACTCCTGGGAGCTTGGAAATAAAGCTGTATAGTCTTGTTTGCTTGCCCTGAGTGCCAGCCCTCCTGCACGGGTGCTGCAGCTGCATGTGGCTTGCATGGCATCATGGGCTCATGGAGCAGCTTGTGCTGGTTCCGGTATGTGTATTTGGTGGGGTGTATCTGCGGGTACACAGGTGGCTCTGGGAGGCAGTTAAGATTGGTGGAACTAATTCTCTTTGAATCTTTCACTGTTTAACAGCAAAAAATGATTGCTCTGACTATAGTTGCAGTATAGAGCAATACTGGGTTTGGGTAGAAATCAAGAGGTGGGGAGTATGTCTAATCCTGTTGCTAACCCCTGCTCCTCAGACTCTCACCTCTCTAGGGAATCCCCTGTCTGTGAACAGCAGAGCCCGTACCCTGGCCTATTTTCCATCTTTCAGGCGTCCAGGACCCCTGTATTAGTGTCGTTCATTCATTCCTTTCCCAGAGCTCTGCTAGCTCAAGCCTGGCAGCTCTGCTCTGGTGCCTGCTTGGCCAAGGGCGGAGTCAGTAGCTGCAGCAGGAGAGGGGGTGCACTCCCTGTTCCCTGCTGCAGGAGGAGAAGGGCTCGGCTCTGTGCAGGTAGATGGGATGGCAGAGACATAGGGGGGTGAATGCCACAGAGCAGACTGGTGTGTGGCAGGGCACAAGCTTGGGACCACAGATGCTGCAGGTACCGCATGCTTCCAGGTGTGATACAGCTGTGGTGCCGAGGTGGAGCATGCAGCTCTAACCCTGCTAGTCCTGCTGGGTTTGCTGCTTACCCAGGGTTATAAGCAGCTGCTGGGAGCCATCTCTTTTCCATTCTGCACTGATGGCGTTAAGTACCTGCTGTGTGCTTGCGGCATGTGTGCAAAGCATTGATAAGGAGACTTGTCGTACACCTTCCTTTCTGGGCCTCCCCGTGGCAGGGAAGAGAGGGTCAGTTTAATGTGTAAGAGAAGGCTCAGCATGGGATGGTGGCAGCCCATGGCACATTGGAGGCTGATAGCTGCAGATTTCTTGCTATCTCCTTCCTACCAGCACCTCCCCACCAAGATAAGAGGCTGCATGGAGCCTCGGGTTCATCCCTGAACCGCTCTTCTCTCTCCCTTTGCTCAGATTTTCTTTTTCTGCTTCAATTTTCTGAAGCACATCACCTCTGAGGAGTTCTCTGCTGTGAAGTCGCAGAGGTAAGGAGCCTGTGCCTGCTGCTGCATGGGCTGCAGAGCCAGGGAGCTTGTTAGTGCTGTTTCTTTGGGGAGATGGAAGCCCTGGTGTCCTGGCCCAGTTTTCTTTAATTTATTCTGCACTCTGAAGGCTGCAAAATGGGGCCGAGGCTTGTGAGGTGCCACGTTGTGCTCTGAAAAATTGTCCATGCTGAAGTGTGCTCTCTGCTTAATGACTGTCCGTAGCTGCTTTAGCACGGATGAACCCAAAGATGTGTGCTCTGGCTCAAGCAGGCTGCGCAGCAAGCTCCATCAGGCACTGTTGGGGGGAGTGGGGTGGCTGGTTTTTAACAGACTGCTAAACATTAACCCCTTCCTATTTCAGGAGGGGCAGAAAGAAATACGGCCCACCCTGGAGGTTCTGAATAAGCAAGTCTGCCTGTTGCCACCCTCTCAAAGCACAGGATGGGTGGGCTGGGACTGTAGGAGAGTCAGATACTGCACACTGGCCCATCCCATCCCCTCCCCTCTGTCACTGCACAGCTAATTCCCCACTGCGCTGATCCGTCATGTGCTACAGAGATCTCCTATGGCCAGCCTTCATGCAGGCCTGAAGCGTGGCTGAGGTAACTTTGTCTGTCTTTCCCCAGAAGGAAGAGTTTGCCACCCAGTTTCACCCTGGAAGAGATCTGCATGCTCAGTGAGTGCTGCTGCTGAACATCAGCACCCCTGGGTGCTGGTAGTGGTTGATCGCTTGGGGGCTTGGGTTCCCAGCATCAATCTGACTACAAATGGGTATGCTTCCCTTGGGGCCTCGCAAGAACACGGCCCCAGGGCGCATGGGAATTGTATTGCTTAAAGGGAGAGAAAGTGGATGAGACCAAGCTGGTTTTCAGGTAGCTCTGTTTTCTTTTCTCTAGAGCAGAGAGACCGAGGCAGCACCACAAGTCTGAGCAGCGACTTCTCCCTGGGGATGGAAAGTTCCCCTGGAGCAGCTGGGAGCTTCACTTATGAAGCAGTAGAGCTGATGCCAGCAGGAGCACAGGCTCAAGCAGCATGGTGAGGAGATAGCCACTCAATGGGCTGCAGAACAAAAGGGGCAGCCTCTGAGCACAGTAGAAAAGATATTTCTGAAGTCCGTTGCCCGCCAGTTCTGCTCTCTGTGGCATGGGTTCCTTACAGTGGAGGGAGGAATTTGGCTGTCGGAGGCTTTGCTGCAACTTGTGCTACAGAACTTCTGCACCAAAAATTGGAGATCACCCCGTGTTAAAGACTGTCAGGCTTCTGCAAAGATGCTCCTGAAGTTTGTCCTCTGATGAGAGTAAAGCAGCTTTGTTTCATTTTTACCAGTTTCACTGTTAAACTTAATCCAGAAAAGATTTCATTACTTTCAAAAGATGGTTCCAAACTACCAGAAAAATGACATTTGGCAGCAGCCTCCCCAAGGAAAAGTGGAAACAATTTAGCTGCCCTAAAATGAAGCTTAATCAGTTTATGGAAGAAATTATACAGGGGAGTGTCTGCAGTTAGTAGGTGGGCTGGGTGGCCAATAATCCCCTCTAAACTTTAGCTTCTCTAACAGCACAAGGTATATGAGCTGAAAGCAGGTTGCTGCCTCAGCGCAGCTTAGAGATACTTCTGGGGGAGAATATGACATTCTCGGTGCTCCCTATTGATAGAGGGTCACATAGGACTCGCCTGGGGATGCAGGTGGCTGTCTGGAAGTGGGGACTGGGGAAGGTGTCTGGTGACTCTGCTGCTCTGGCATGAGTGTTGTGCTTGCTTGTGGAGTTTCTGGTGCTGTTTGGGGATTTCAGAACCTCGCTGTAGGGTTGCCCCTCTCAGTTTAATTTTTCTCTTCTCTCCCTCAGCACATGTGAAGATGCTATTTTATATTGCAATTATTTTAAATTAAATTTGGATTGTGCTGGAGGCAGTTGGAAGTCCTCTGGGACTTAGCCTGCAGCCATGCTAGTGGCAGCAGCCTTTCTAAAGCACATTGTGATTCAATTTATAAAATGCTGAAGAGGGAAAGAGAGAATCTTCCTGCAGAATCACAAAATGGAGATGGGGCGTCCCAAACTGCGTTTGCCAAGTGAGCAGCACAGAGTTCTGTCTAACACACAGAGCCTACCTATCCGCAGCAAAGTGACTGCAGCAAGTAGAGAACAACTTTCCACTTGCCTGGCTGCAGGGTAGTAAACTGAAGCATTTACATTTCTCTGAGTGCTCAGGACATACAGACTAGATCCTGCAGCACAAAACCTACACATGATTTTCACAAGATGTGAAGTGGTCAGAGCATGCTAGAAGAGAACTGCTACCTTTGTGTGTATCAGGGCTTGATTTTGTGACGTGTTTCTAACTCTGGTTTGCTTTCATTCCTATTGGAGATATCAGGCTGTGTTGGGGCTAGCTGCTGCTACCACGGGGATGGTTTGGGCCCATGCTGTGAGCATGAGCTTGCAGAAGGGAAGGTTGTGAACCTTGCCGTGAATGCTTAGCAAGGGGACTGGTCATGGATATCTTGCTGCAGGCTGTTGCAGCTGTGTAGTCTGGAGAACAGGTAGGGCTTGCTATAAGCTGGGTGAGCTGGGCTGTGCATAACATGAGTGGAGAGAGGAGGGGATTGCTTCATTGTGTTGTCCTGAAAACAGGCAGCCTTGAGGTCTCGCAGGGAGAAGCATTTGGTTTTTAGCTGTACAACCCTGTTTCTGCAGGCTGTGCTTGGAGGTGTTGGCAATTACAATAACACGAGATGAATAATGCTTGAGAGAAGCTGTGGTGTGATGTTTGAGGGTGGACACTTTAAGAAATGAAGAGAGGCTATTGTGCTTTCCGCTGTACAATGAGCCTGTCTTTAGCTGGACTTGCTGATAGTGCTTGAGATCTCGGTCAAAGTTGAGATGCCCTTCCAGATTCCAGGAAGAACAGCATCTTTTCTCCTTGACTTGGTTTGCTTTAGACTTTTCGTTTTCACTTGTGTACATAGGGAGGTCTTTGTCCAATTCACTGTGGTTTTGGAAGGGGAAAAATTCTCAGGAGTCCTCCAGAAAAAAACCTCATGTATGAAAGAAAATCTTCTGAACATGGAGCAGCAGTGATGTGAATTAGTCCCAAATATGCGTGCCTGTTTGGCATGTAGCTGGATGGTACTGTGAGCTAAGGCCTGACACAGCAATGGACAGTGAATCACACCCAAGTCTGAATGTGCTGGCTAGAAAAGAAGCCAGAGCAGTTCTGGGCTGTCAGCACAGGCAGGGAGAGGACTGAAGTGCACCTACATCTGGAGTGACTGTCAGCTCTGAGCACATGGTCAAAAGTGTGGTCAGTGGTGCCTGAAGGGAATCACTAAAAGGGGAAATAACACTGGTGGTGTGTCCCTGTCACCCTCATCAGTGCACACAAATGCCCACCTGGGCTGAGCTCCTCAGCTGATACACTCTGTAGAGTTAGAGCAGATTGAAATGGTCTTTCCCTGCTGGGAGGCCCCTTGCTTGAGGCATTTTTACAGCTAGACTAAACAAAGCAATCGCTGTATGTGTGTGGGCTGATGCATTCTCCTGTCTCTGATTTCCAGGTCACGTGGATGGTGATCTATAAAAGAATGGGCTAAGATGGGTTGAGCTTAGTGTACCCCTGTCACTGAGCAGTTACCCGTGACTCATGATTCCTTGGGAGGGAGGAGGGCAGGTTCAGTGGGAACAAGAGCTTGTAGCTGCCGGGGTAAAATCCAGCCTGCTGCGGAAATGCTTCCTAATCGGAGTACATGGGAAAGCCAGCTTTCTCACCCAAGTCCTCCATCCCACAGGAGGAAGAGCTGTGCATCGTCACCACAAGCTGTGCTCTGGAGCAGGGCACAGCAGTCTGAAGATAGGCTGCCTTCTGCAGGGATGGGCGAAGTCAAATCCTCCAGCTCCTCCTCATCAACCCATTCTGATAACTTCCTGAGGATTGGAAGCAGCCCACTGGAAGTGCCCAGGTCCAGGTGAGATGGGATGGAGTAGAGCATTTCTCAGCAAAATGAGTGTCTGGTAAAGGGAGTGCACAGCTGCACTTGTGTGACTCTGAGAACCCTAGAGCACATGTGTTTGTATCCACAAACAAGCCTCAAGAGGCCTGTTCCTCTCTAGCCTGACCTTGTGTGAAATGCTGGCCATTAAACACAGAAACTCCTGCCTCAGCCCATTTAGAGGAGCGAGGAACTGTGCCGATAACAGCTAGGTGTTTGTTCTGCCTGTCCTCAGTGCATGCCTCAACGAGCTCTGGCATCTCTGCATCCTGCATGCTTGGAGCTCACAGCACCTTCTCTGTCAAATGCATACACAGGGGTTTGAAATGGCTGTGTTCTGTGCGGGAGGAAGCCTTTCAGACCAAGCAGACCTCACTCTGCATCTATCCTGTCCCCCTTTCCACCTGCTGACCTTCCTGACACTGCAGGGTGGAAAAAATTCTGGGTGCTGGTGGCAAGCAGAACAGAATCTGCTTGGAGCAAGCTACAAGCGCTGTGCCGGCTCACAGGATTTCACCTAGAAGGCTGTGTGTTCCCACTGGGCAACTGGGGAATGGGTACCCTGGACCCGAGCCTAATCTCATGCCATAACAAAGGATATTCTGGCACCCTTCTGGAGTCTGATGCTGTGGTAGGGCAAAGTCGAGCGGTGAGCTAGGCTAGGGAAGAAAGAACAGAGCCTGTGGAGCAAACACCATGTGTTTAGGCCGACAGGGGATAAAGAGGCTCTTGGATAAGAGGTTGTTGTTAACAGCATCAAACGCTTGTGTAGTCTCTGCAGGTTTTCCGATGAGTCTTTTTCTAGTGATTCCCTTCAGAAACAGCCACCAGCCAAATTTTAGTACTCTCTGATCACATGGAAAATAAAATGACAAACAAGTAAAGCACTGAAAATTTATAAGACTTTTTTACTAAGTGTCTTGATTCCAGAGAAGAATCACTGTCTGACAGTTTTTTTTAAATTATGTTAACTGTTCTCCCTGGGGAAAGAGATCAATAGGATGGTTTTGAGTTGTTGCTGGGGCCCACCTCTACATTCTCTGTAAGGTGAAACAAATCTCCCAAGAAGAGAAGAAAATACTGAAGAGCAAACAGCTTGACTTGGGGGCTGCTTTTGTTCACAATGGTAGTGCCACAATTCCTGTGTGTGGTCTCATGCTGTTCCCAAGACCTAACAGGCTGTTCAGCGCTGAGCTGGTAACGAGCTTGCAGCAATGCTGTGGAAGAATTGGTTTATAATGCTTCAGCCAGACTCTGCTCTGTGAGAGTGAAGAGGAGAAACAGAGTAGGCAGAAGAGCACCCCAGGAAGGGGCTGAGCACACAGTCCCTGGGATTTGTGTTCCAGGGGCTCGGAGTTGGTAAAGCCAGCAATTATCTTTCCTTTGGCTGTGTCTGGATGAGTTGTGTATAAGCTTTTGGATGCTTAGTCCCCATTGGTGTCAGGTGTTCAGCACCCCCAGGGCTTGAGACAGCAGGCAAGCATGGTGGGGAAGCTTGTTACTTCCAGGCCAGAGTCCCTGGGGGTAGCATTTCCCTATGCCCAATAAATGTCCCTGAGAAGGAATTGCAGTATTCTGTCATTGTAAGAGGTAAACATTCTGTGAATTCCACTATAAACATTTTTCTGACCCTTACGATAGCTTCTACCATGGCACAAAGCATTTATAACCCTTCAGCACAGCAAGGTTGCACCAGTCCATTCCCAATCCCTGTTAACTTTTGTGAACAAGGCAGCATGAAGGGCAGGGTTAGAAAAAAGTACATGATGGGGAAATAAGGGATAAAAGGGGAGCAAACATCTTGCACAGCCTGGAACCAAGGGGACAGGAGAAGGGGATCAGTTGTGAAACCAAAGGGGTGAAATCAGCTGCATGCAAAGATGGTTAGCCTCCTACACTCGTGCTGGCTGCAGACTGTACACCTGTATGCTCTCCATCTCTGGTGTCACCTGGGTTTGCCCTACTCCTCTCGGTGTACAGGCTGGAGGAAATAAGCCTAGAGACCCTGCAGGGAGTGGGTGGAATTGTCAAGGCAACGGCTGAAATGAGCTTCTCTTTCAATCCAAGTCTTCTGGCACGTTCATGCTCCTTTGCCTCCTAGTCCATTGCCGAATCGGTCAGACTGCGCCCTGCCTGCCTTCCCTGGAGTAACGCTGCTAACAGCTCTGCTAGCTAAGGAGCAATGCGTTGCCTTGTCAGACGCTGATATGGCTTGTGCTTTTTTAGGCCTGAACATGGTATGTTTCCTCCAGAGAGAGGGGTTATGTCACTCCACTTGGCTTTCCACTTCCCTGCTTGGACTATGTTAGTCTGAATTTGTCTGGTGAGCTCCATGCGGTACCTTCAGCCACCGTTTTCCATCCTGAAGGAAAGGATGAGTCCCACTTGGGGTGGAGAAGGAGTGTATCTGTGATGGGAGAGAGACGTAAATTCTGTCCCTTCACCCCCTGAAAAATGGTGGGACTAGGATGGAAAGACTGGAGCACAGAGACTGATCAGGGTGCCAGAAATACGTTTATCCCTACAGTGCTGCTGGCAGGTTAACACCCAAGGCTCTTAAGATGAAGAAATGAATGTACTTGACTTCCCAATCCTCTGGTGGTGTGGCATAGCAACAAAACACTTAACCACTGCAGCAGCAGTTGAGGAAAAATGGTTGCTTGTAAAATGCCAGCAGGCACCCTTCAGGTGGTTCTCATAAACAGCCCAGTCCAGGTGCTGGCAGGCAGAGAAGCCCCAGAGGGAATGGGAAGTCAAGCCAGCAGAGAGAGATGAGCAGGGTCTGGGAGGGGAACTGGCGTGTCCTAAAGGAAAGAGTTGTAAATGCCAAGTCGGCCAGTGGGAGCCAAGCCCCTCTCCTGGCCAGGCCACGTCAGCAGTCTGCTGCTGCCTCACCAGCCAGTCTTCTGAGTCCTGCTCTGATCCAGAGGTCCTGAGTACCCATAAATCCCAGGATGGTTCTTGTTAGGCAAAGCAGTACAAAGGCAAATTCCTAGCAGTCTTTCTAGCTTATCCCAATGCAATGGTAAGATCACATCTGCTGAGGGCAAACGTGCATGAAGATACTACATAGATTATTTGCAGAGTAGGACAAGGTGCTTCTTGTTCTACAGAGAGCTCTGAGTATGGCAGATAGTGTGCACTGAATTGAACTCCCTGCGTGTGAGTGGGTAGTGGCTTGCAAACCATGTTCCATGTTTGCATTTGACATTAATAGTCTAAGCATCCCATGATACTGCAGAAAAACCCTGTATCTTTGTCAGGGATTTAGCATGTGTGTACATAGCACTAATGTGGATTAGCAGCTAGATAATCTTTGGTTGAATGTGCTTTTGCTAAGTCAATTAAAACCCAAAGTACTGTGATCTGAAGAGTGGAGATCTGCAGGAGTTAAATCGTGGAGGATCTGCTTTGGTCAACAGCCACAGAGAACTCCCTTACTTAAAGGGCTGCAGATGGTTCAGCTATGGGTCTGGAGGAAGTGCAGTGAGTGCAGAGAGGGACAGAGAAGCTGCTGCCCTTTGGCTTTGGGTGTTTTGTTGATAGTGATAAGGCTGCATGCTCACTATGTGTCTTGCTTCTTACAGCCACCTGGCTTGGAAGCTCTATCTGCGACGTGACAGCTTGGGGTAGCAACCGCAGCAGGACAAGAATTGTTTACAGGAATGTTTTCTGGAATTATTGCACAACTATGCCACAAAACAGGCTTGCCGGCTGGCACGTGACTGTGCTGCAATCAAAAATGGTTGTGCTCGCAGAGGACTGGCTGCTCAGGCTGTTACGGCACTAACGCAGCCTGTAGATAGCTGCCTGGGATTCAGCCAGGGCTCTCAGTATACAGCTCTCTGCCAAGTACTCCTTGCCAACATTTCCCACGCAAAGGTGGGAAGGGCTGCCCTTTGCTCCAGGTTGCCACAGTGTGCCTGTGTGTACAGTACCTACTTAACACTTTGATTTGAGGCACAGAGCATATGCTGGCAAATGAGCTGCTTCCCAAATAGTCCTAGGTGTGTAGAAATATGGCAGGTGAGCGGGGGCAGCACAGGGCAGGATGAGAGCCTAGCTGTTGGCACTTGTCACTCGTCTCAGTTATGTATTAAGAAAGGGAAGGATCCCTGACTGTTGCTGTGCCTCCGGTATTGGCTCCCCTCTGGTAGGCGAGTGTCCATGTGCTCTGAAATACTCTATCTTGTGCAGCATGTTGCATGGGAAGCACTGACCTAATTAAAAGGAACCGTTCCAGGCTAGGAGTTGCCAATTATGGCCTGCTAGAGGTCCTTCCTTGTGTGAAGGAACAGCTTGCAGCTCATCTCTGTTTTGCTAATCTAATTTTGTTAATCTTGCACTTTTGAGGGAGTTTCTTCCCACTCGTGGACCTGAAGAGGTGGGTGTGTGAAACTCACTTTCATTCTCTTTCTGCCTGCTATTAGATGTCTGTGGCAGAGACAGTGACTTGAAGACTTGCTGTATCTCATCTCCCCTAACGATGTCAGCTTTGCTGTAGTCGTCCGGCTGCTTCCCAAGACCCTCCATGCTGCCCTTGCAGCTGGCCAGCCTCTGGCATGGCTATAATGTGTTGCAAACCTGTTGTTCTTACAGGCCTGGGGACTGGTCCTGGTGTCCCAGCAGCCCCAGCTTGCTCTGGGGGCCTCACTGAAGCCCTTTTTGGGCCTCTGCCAAAGAACCTTCAGGGGTAGAAATAACAGGAAGACTTTCACCTGTAGTATTGACTGGATTGCACTGGGATACAGTCACCCTAGAGATCTGGTCTTGGTCTCAAGCCAAGCTCAGCTTTTAAGAAGCTCTGCTGCCCTTGCAGTGCAAACACAAGATTTCCCATTCCATGCCTTCCCCACCTGTCTTGCCCAGCCTTGGCCCCTGCTGTCTCTTAAGGCTGTTCAAGATGCTTGTTGGTTGTGACACTTCCTCAGGAGCCTCCCTTGAGAAGGCATTGGGGATAGAGGGGAAAGTCTGCCACGATATCTTAGCTCTGCTGGCTAGGCTCTGATATCTAAGCCAGGAGAGAAATGACCTGGACTCACTGCAGAATCAATCAGTTTATTCAATTAATCAACAAGTGTTTATTCTGCTGCCTGGAGGCGAGACACAGAATTGGCTGCCTTGAACTCCTAGGCTCCTGTGCTATTAGGTTAGATGTAACTTGACTAAGCTTGCACAGCTGCTTCACAGGGTCCGGGACCCCAGGAAAGGTTAGAGGGTTAGAGAGCCACTGAGAGTCAAGTCTAGTGGGAGGTACACGAAGCTTTTATCAGCCTGTCTGAGAAAGGATTCAAGAGGTGACTTGATCCACCTCCAAGAGGTGGTGTAAGATCAGTCTAATCTTAGCTGACAACCATGGAAGGTGACCAGCAGCTGGAAGCTGAGGCCACACACCCAAAGCAGGAAATAATTTTCTGCTCACTTTCTTTAGCACAGACTTATCTGGCCAGTGTGGTTGATGATACTGGGTAGAGGGACACTTTAACTGTCCCTGGGGCCCTGGATCATGTCTTACTCCTTTGCTTGCCACATGGGCAGTCTCCTAGGCAGGCTCCTGACACTACTCTCCTTTTTTGAGAACTCCAGAGCTCTGCTCAATTCTCTTCACCTTCACCTGGAGATCCTGCCATAGCCCAAGCCCTCCTCTGTCATCCAGACCTGCCTTCTTCAAAACCTTTGTTTCTGCCTCACCCCAAACCTATCCTCTGTTCAGCAACTTGTTACTTTTCTGACAGAATCACGTCCCTGTCTACTTTTAGCCCAAGCCCATTGCCTATAGACCTCTTTACTGCTTTAGCTCAAATTCTTGTCACTGTGTGTGACACTCCTGTTTTTCCTGTCTGGCTGTGATGTACTCTCAGGGAGATGATATCCTCCTCTTCCCTCTGCACTGAAGCAGTGTTCCTCTATGCTTCTCCCTGGCTTCCTGCACTGTTCCCGCTGTGCTTCCAGCATGGCACCGTGCTCTGGGCCCAAACACTCTGCCTGCTCTCCTCGTTCACACTGACTTCCTCGGCTTTATCTTCCAGAGGCAGGGAGAGAGGTAGATGTCACTGAACAGCTGCTCCCTTTCCCTTACAAGTTCTTTGCATCCCACAGAAGGTTATCCCTGTCTGATCTCCGAAAGGTCTTTTCTAAGAGTATATGCTGCAGTTCCACTTTCAATGAAACGCTGTCAATCCGACTACAGTGTTATGTGCACTAGGAAAAACACCTTTTTGCAAGAAGGGGTTCTCCCAACACTTAATTCTCACGGCACCTCTCTGAACCTCACTCTTCAGTTCATCAAGCAGCCAGAGAACAAGAGTTGTGCAAGGCAGGTGAAGCTCTACTCTTCCCATTTTCTGCAGTGATGCCTTTCCAGATCCTGAACTTCCAGACAGTGGTGTTACCCCCAAACTGCAGTTGCAGGAGCATCGACACTGTGATGGGAAGCTGACATGCAAGGAGCTGTGCGACTTCCCTTCCTCCGCTTGCGCAGCCAGCTTGGGACCATGTTTCAGACTTCTCAAGCTTGGCTGTATTGATCAGACTAGTTAAATGGCAGGCTTGGAATTAGATCAAGATTGCAAACAGGTTTCCTGCTGTGCATCTCCCTCCACCCTTGCCTTGCAGTCTCATTGAGGTCCTTCTTGCTATGGGAGATCCTGTCTTTCTAGCTGTTCTCTTGGTCTCTTGGGGAGCAGCTGCAGTGCGCCACTGCTATTCTTAGCTGTGAAGACAGTGTGCAAGTACCTGGCCCAGCAGAGCTGGAGCTGGTGCACTGCTATCTGCCCAGCAGATCTCAGATGAATTATCCAGAAGATCTTGGTAGTGTGTAATTGAGTAGCTCTGCCACAGGCTGTGCTTCCAGCTATGTACACTCTGCTGTGCAGCAGGGCACAGTAATTGCTTGCTCCCCAGAAGCCAAGAGCTCTGGGTTTGTCTCAAGTGATTGTGCCCTCTTCTCTGAGATTTTGGAGGGACTCCTCAGATTCACTTGCTTCCTCCTTTCCTGGTGGGAGGTTGCATATATCAAACAATTATCCTCTCTTGGCTATTTTTCCTGTCCTAAAGATGTTTTGCCACCTGGTTTCTGGCGCAGTCCATCCTTCTAACACAGGAATGAAAAGATCTTCAGATGCTGGGGGGGGCAGGGTGCCCTGGGGATGTCTTGAGCAGTGACTGGCTCTGTTCAGATCTGGTGTTAATGCCTCGGGAGTGATCTGCTTTCTAAAGGCTGTGGGACCAAGCATCTCTTACGTCTTTCTCGGCACTAACCAAGTCACAACCTTGATTCTCTGTCAGGCCTTGCTGCTGCCCTGGGATGTGCTAACAACTACAACAAGCAACAGGGGGATGCTCCTTGTACAGTACGAAATCCACATCTGTGAGGGATTCAGGGCAGGACATGCCGTTGCATGTCGCTAACGGGTTTCACAGTTCTGCATGGCCATCTGCTTCTTGCTGGCTCTGTCCTGTCCAGCTCCCGGTACGCTCCTGCTGCTTTGTCAGCCCCAGCCAGCTTGGCTCTCCCCTCGCTTTCAAAGGAAAGGCTTGGCCTGGGGCCCAGCCAGAGCTGCATGTTGCACCCTGGTCCCCGAGTGTCAAAGCTGCTGGCACAGGTGCTGCTGGCGGTCAGCCCGGCAGGTCCCTGGCACCAGCGTTAGTGAAAGGCATGTGGCTGAATGACCTGACTGATCGCGCCGTCTCCCTCTCTCTCTGCCCCAGATCGGCGGACCATTCTCTGCCCGGATCTTCCGTTTCCACAGACTTTGGCAGCTGGCAGATGGTGACAGGGTGTGGCAGTATTCGGGAGCAGGCAATCCTGAGCGCAGACGCCTCTCTCCCTTGCAGCTTCCCGGATGAGTTCCCTAGCACTTGCCTGTAAGTGTCTCAAATGCAGGATCTCTCCTTGGGTCTCTCGGCTGCCTGCGAGTGCTGGAACTTTATCACCCTGGCACTTTCGAAGAAGCCTGGGAGCCCATAACAAACTGTCCTGTCTTCCCTGCCTTGATGCTTTCCATCCACAAATTCAGTCACTGAGCACTCTTTGCTTATGCTGAACTCAGAAAGAAACCGGCATTTTCTCTGCCTAATGACAGGGGGCACTTCGCTTTCTGTAGGAAGAAGAGGCTTTTCTCTCTTCCCTGAAGATGTTGAATTTGGGCATCACTGAGTGGATTTGAGGATGCATGCTTGTCGGGACAGGACTGGTAACCCAGATTTTCTTGCTTTTGGATCTCGCTCATCTCCATCTCCCCACTGGGGTCAGATCTTTGCTGCAGTAAGAGGAGGGCTTTCCTTCTGTAACCCCGATTTTGTCTGACCACGCGCAGCATCGTTTGCAGGTGCTGCATCTGGCCAGTGCAGAGCAGCAGAGACCCTGCATCCTGCAACATCCTGCCATGTAAAATGGCTGGGACATAAATGTTCCTCCCCAAATAGAAAGCCACCTCTGTGGAAGCTTGAAAGACAGGAGATGTGCTTTAGTTGCCATTAGAGGAGAACCTTGGCTTGTGCCTTCAGGCTGCAAACTCTCAATCAAGAAACTGAAATGGCAGATCAGGGGCTGCCGCTAGCTAGCTGCACTAGAGTTGTGCAGCCAAATGTTTGCAGTCCCTTACCGAGATCTGAGTACGCACTTTGGAGGCAGAGGGCAAGTGATGTTGAAAACCAATGTCTCATGTGAGACCGGCTAGCTGCCCTGGCTTGCCTCCTCATGTGGCTGTGTGCTGTGCCACTGAGCAGAGCAGAGCAGCTTCCCCCAAGTTATGGTGAAGCTACAAGACCCATGAATTGGCAGATCAAAAAATCACAAGAGATGTCAGACATGGCCTGGCCGGGATTTGCTCTCCTCCTTTCATGAGGACACGCTGGGCTGCTCAGGTAGTTGGTTTGGATATGGGTGAGGGAGCAGAAGGGACTGAAGGATGGGCATCTGAATTAGTGACTGCTTTACGGTGCCCTGAACCTGGCTGTGCTTGGTGGCTGCTGATCTCCAGTGAGTTGTTGCTGCCCTTGGAGTTGGATCTAACATCAGAATAGGGAATTCAGTAGAGAAATGTGAATTGCAGTTGAGCTCTGAATCTGCCTGTGCTGAGACCGTGGGCTCATGCAGTTCGGAGTCCAGCTGCTTGGGAAAGCCAGGTTCAAAGGGAGGAGAACAGTGGTGGTGCTTCTCCCTTGGGTGCACAGCAGATGCTATGAGTGCTCTGCCCTGTTCAGCTCTTCACTAGAGCTCGGGGTGCTCGGGACCACTCAACTGCAGGTGTGGGGACCGGGCGCCATGTGGAAGGGATGAAGAGTTCCCAAGGATGTTGTGTTGAGCTTAACCCAGGGCCTCTACTCTCTCTCTGCTCTGCATCAGCTCTGTTTGCTTAGTAGCCCATTGTGGTTTTATCCCAGTTTTTCACAGCCCAGCACAGTGTGAGTTTTTGGAAAATTAAATTCCATTTAAGTTCCCACTTTACATCTCAGCTGGCAGCAGCTCGATGAAGGTACGCTTTTCACAGCCTACTTCTTGTGTTTGTGTGGGGCTTGTCAGGGCTTACTTCGAGCTGGGGCTTTGACAGCCTCCTCTCATCCTGCACCCCAAACTGCAGACGAGCGGGCAGGCTGTAGGAAGTGTAGCGGGGCAGAGCGCCGTGGATTTGGCAGGGAAGCGTGACCTGCCTCCCTGGTTGAACTGCTCAGAGTGAAATGGTGCAGCTGGTCTGCAGGGCTTGGTGTCGGGCAGTGGCCGGCCACTTGACCCTGCGCTCTCCATGAAAAAAAACCCAAGCGTCTAAATACAAAATTTGCCCTGTGAAGAGGTGCGAGAGCCAGAAGACACGGGACTTAACTGCTGCACGCCCTCGTTTACCTCTGCATGTGACATTTCAGATCACTGTACTCGGGTGCAAGTAAGTCCTGCTTTCATGTAGCTTATTTTTAATGCTAGCAGGTTTGCGAGTTCCACGTCCTAATTAGGTTGCCAAAAAAGCATCTTTTTAATGTGTTTAGATATGTTGCCTTTTTCCTTTGCCCTCTAGCTTCTCTTTATTATCAGACACTGTAAACAGCGGCCTGGTTGGCTGCCTCGGCATCGCTTGCTGTTTATAGGCCTCCCACCATATCCTCTTGCTGCTGTTTCCGGACCGAAGCTGTTGGCTGTGGGTGGTTAACACTTCCATTCAAATGAGCTGTGCCAATTTATAGCCAGCCCAGGCGCTGGAGAGATTAAAGAGAATTTTTTATGGGGAAGGTTCGCGCTGTGCCCTTGGAGTGACCTTTGAGGAATGTCTTATTCTCTCTGGGAACCACCGGCACGTCGCAGAGGCGCTGCAGCAAGGACCATTTCAGGCCGGAGCGCTTGGAACAGCTGCCTCTGGACCCTAGTCTTGCTTTCCCCTGCTCCCTTGGCTGAAATACTGCCTTCCCTCTGCTCTCTTCCCCCCACCCCTAACCAGGTGCATGGATCAGCTGGAGAAGAGAGCAGGTCCCAGGGGAAGTCATGCCCTACTCTGCGTGCTGCCCTCCTGCTTGCAGAGAGCAGCCGTGCTGGGGAGCAGAAGTAAAATGCCGCTCAGCTCTCCTCTTTCCACGGCTGGAGCGCTCCTTGGGGCTTTTGTCACCTTGTCTGCCCCCTCTCATCCCCCCTTCCCCAAAGCTGTCTGTGCTGGCACAAGCACGAGAGGCTGGGGCAGTTGGAAGTAAGAGACGGTCACAAATACGTTGGAAGCGACTGTCCAGGCACGGCACATGTGGACAGGCTCCATCTGGGAATGCTGTGCAAAGAGGGGAGGGAGCTGGCGCAGGGGCTGACGTCAGCCAGCACCCGCTTGGCGAAAGCAGCACTTTCTGTATGAAACGTGGCCTCGTAAGCACCGTGGTGGTGGGAGAAACTGGGG